CTCCTCTTCCATCCTGACATCAAAGGATCCCAGGTTATTATGGATGAATCTTGCTGTACAGTAAGTAGAATAGACACCTTCCATGATGGTATCGTCTTCTCCAACCGGCCCGTAGAACTCGAGGAGAAAGTGACGCTGAAAATCTTACAAGACGACCAGAAGTGGCATGGCGGTCTACGGGTGGGTTTCACTTGGGAAGACCCCCACCTTCAGTCTGGCGACTTGCCTCCGTTTGCGTGCCCAAACCTGGTCCTCCAAGGCAAGACTTGTGCGTCTGTTTTGCCAGATGATTATCTGGCGGAAGGCACCACAATCAGCTTCTGGGTAGACAGCCAGGGCTGCGTTTTCTGCAGCACCAGCCTTGGAGCTGAAGGGTCCTTCCTCTTCGGTGGCGTCTCAGTTAAATCTCCTCTTTGGGCGGTTGTGGACGTCTACGGAAGAACCAGAGCGGTCCAACTTCTCGGTAAGCAACTGCAGGCAAGGACAATTTGCTGTGGGTGGCTTTTTCAGGTCAGAGGAAGGCCGGTGGAGTGACCAACATCCCTCTTCTCTCTCTCTCTCCCACCCTTAAGAACGGTCTCGTTTAGTGACAAATGTCTAGCTTAGAGACAAAACAGCTCTGCTCGCTCTTTCTGTGTGACTCTCTCCATCTCTCTCTCTCTCCTCCTCCTACTAATCTGTCTCCCTCTCTCTGTCCGTTTCTGTCTCCCTTAAGAACTGTCTCGCCTAGTGACAAATGTCTCGCTTAGCAACAAAACAGCCGTTCTCTTTTTGTCTCTCTCTCTGTTTGTGTGTGTGTTTCTCTCTCTCTCTCCCCCTCCTCTCCCTGTCTCCATCTCTCCCTCTCTCTGTCTCCCTTAAGAACTGTCTCTCTTAGTGACAAAACATTTGGCTTCAGTTGTGCTCATAAGTCAAGGGCTCCCTGCAGGATAGGACTTATTCTTCCCCTCTAGGGAACAAAAGTTCAATGTTGTTCTAAAGCCATTACGCGATAACAACACACACACAATCTGTAAGGCTTTTGGGAACACGCCAGGAGGAAAGAAATGGACCAGACCACTTTAAAAACCTCCAGTGATTGAGCACCCACGATTTATGGTGGCCAGCTGTTCCACTGGTTCATTGTCCTCCCTCTTAGAAAGTTTCTCCTTAATTCCAAGTTGCTTCTCTCTTTCCATCCATTGTTTCTTGTCCTGCCTTCTGGTGCTTTGGAGAATAATTTGACCCCCAATTCTTCTTTGTGGCAGCCCCTCAAAAACTGGAATACTGCTAGCACGTCTCCCCTAATTCTTCTTTTCTTTAGACTAGCCAGACCCAAATCCTGCCGCCGTTCTTCATATGTTTTAGTCTCCAGGCCTTTGATCCTCTTAGTTGCTCTTCTCAGAACTTTTTCCAAAGTCTCAACGTCTTTTTTTTTTTGTAGTACAGTGACCAAAATTGGTTGCAGTATTCCAGGTGTGGCCTTACTAGGCTTTTATAAAGCGGCAGTAATACTTCATGTGATCTTGGTTCCAGGCCTCTGTTTATACAAGCCAGGATCATATTACCTTTTTTGGGGCAGCGGCTGCACATGGCTGGCTCCTATTCAAGGAATTGTCCACTAGGACTCCAAGGTCTCGCCTAATCTGCACTGCGCTGAGTTAAAAGTCCGCAAGTCTTAAAAGTTTTCCAAGGTGGGTTGGACACCCGTTTTAAATTTTCTCGCGAAATATTTGTGCCTCTGCAGATTCCACCCGCTCCGGGTTCCAGGAACGAGCGGAAGAAAGCCCCGTGGAAGATTGCATGGTCTGTTTTGCGTCCGAGGCCAGTACTATGATGTTCCCTTGCCATCACACCGGTTTCTGCTCCGTCTGCTCCGTGAAGATTTTCAAAGCCAGCGGCCGCTGCCCTCTCTGTCGGGAGAAGGTGGAAAAAATCCTCCGGATCTCCCTTCTGGTGGAGAACGAGGGGCCGCCAAGCGGTTCGGGAAAACCGGAGGGGATCCATTCCCTGCGGTGACAAAAGGTGGACGATTGCGATGCTCCTGAGATAATCTCCATCCTGGTTGGAAAGGGCAGGAATTGGACAGGCGAAGAACGCAATCGGAAAGACCATAATAATAATAATAGTAATAATAAATTAAAAAAAGCAGTGTTTGCTTCGAAGGGACGCAGAGGTGATGCATGGGGTGGCTTAGCTGATGAAGGAGCTATATTGCTGGAACCGCTGGAGATGCACAGTAGCTACTGGTTAGCCAGATCTCTTTGTTCTTTAAATAAACAACAAAAACACCCCACAGTTTTCACACTCGCAAACTGGCACGAGGCTGACAGCTTTGAAATTTATTTCCAGGTTTTTCCAGGGGAAATCAGGGGAATCACCAGCGCTGCCTGTTCTCAGAGCGAACAAGAATTTGGGAAGGGTTTGCCTGAAAATTCCTAAGGCTGCGCAAAAGCCATCATCCCAAAACGTTGCTAGCTTATGCTTTGCCAGGGAACGGGGCAACAAAGACAATTCACAGGTTAACCGAACTCTTTGGGGATCTGCCTAAATCCGCTTGCCGCCTTGGCTTCCTTGGACATTGCCTGAGCGCGAGGGAATGTTATCTTTCGGAGAACAGAATCTTATCCTGCTGGCCTTGAAGAAGAGGGGGATATGGCTCAGCCCTGTAAATAAACATCATTGCAAGAAGGGACTGTTGAACTCCAAATTTAAGGAGTCACCAGAGGAAGGGAAGAGACATCAAGAGGGGAATTCTCCTTCAAAGCAACAAAAAACCAAAACAAAACCACCTCCTCTTATTGTTTCTCCTGCTGGGGAAAATCCCTGACGGGATGGGAACTGCCTCTTGCAGGAAACATCTGGAGATCTAGGCCTTCGAGACCAAAGGCAAAGGGAGGATTCCCAGTGATTTGTTGTTACGAGATCAAAATCAAATCATCTCAAGGATGGCAGGGCCTGTATGTTGGAAGTTAGGGAAAGAAAGAAACGAAGAGAGAAAGAGAGCAAGAGTGAGAGGGAAAGAAAGAAAGAAAGAAAGAAAGAAAGAAAGAAAGAAAGAAAGAA